TCTTATTCTTTACATCTTAGCCAAGAGTGTTTCCAGTTTATGGATTTTCAAAATGTTTAATTTGTTAGAAGGAAAAGTACATGGCTTGTATGTAGACATCAGGGCAGCTTTGTGGTGTAGCATCAACATAGACAGACAGACAGACACACACACACATGTGCACACACACACACACAGTTTTTAAAACAGTGTCTGACTATCTAACCTTGGCTAGCTTGGAACTTACTATGTAGGCCAGGCTAGCTTCTCTCTATCTTTACAAGAAAGAGCTCCAAAGATTAAACTCAGGGCAGTGGTGGCCTTTAATTCCAGCACATGGGAGGCAGAGGCAGGCTGATTTCTGAGTTCGAGGCCAGCCTGGTCTACAGAGGGAGTTCCAGGACAGCCAGGGCTACACAAGAGAAACCCTGTCTCAAAAAAACAAAACAAAAACAAGACAAAAAAAAAACCCACAAAAAACCAACAACACGACACAAAACAAAACAAAAACAAAAAAATAAATAAGAAACACTTTTGGGCTAGAAAGATGGAACAGTGGTTAAGAGCACTGGCTATTTTTCCGAAGACCTGGGTTCAATTCCCAGTACCCACATGGCAGCTCATAGCTGTTCTATGACTCCTGTTTGAGGGGATCTGACACTGCCACACAGACACACATGCAGGTAAAACACCAATGTACATGTGATGGCTATTCCTGGTTGTCAACTTGACTACATCTGGAATGAACCATAATCCAGAAATGGAGGGCACACCTTTGATCCAGATTTTGAAGCTAGAAGACACAGGCTTCTGACCCAGATCTTGACTTGGGATGATACATGCTTTTGATCCAGATTTTAAGGCATAGTGGCCTTGAAAAGCTTAGAGCATAAGGACAATGGAAGAAGGAAGGCTCTAGAGAACCCTAATACCGTATATAAGATAAAAACACACTTAAAAAAAAAGATTGAACTCAGAAAGTTAAGCTTGCAGGGCAAGCATCTTTACCCAGTGAGCCATTTTGCCTACTCAAGTTTATTCACGATAACTCATGTTTTAGAAAGTTTTGAGACAGAGTCTTATGTAATCCAGGCTGGCCTTACTATATGGCCAAGGATGATTTTGAATTAAAGGTAAGTACCACCACATCTGGCTCCAAATACCACGTAATACATTGTGTTTAATCCTGTAGTGTGGAAAAGAGGTGCTTCTCCAATAATTGTGTTGTCGTTACTATTATTGAGTTTTGGGGGCGTCTCACCATGAAACCCTGGCTGGTCTGGGACTTCTAATGGAGACCAGGCTGGACTTGAACTCAGAGAGAACTGCTTTCCACAGTCTTTGAAGTATCCTTAGTTTTTTCATCAATTAAAATCATTGTCGGCCGGGCGGTGGTGGCACACGCCTTTAATCCCAGCACTCGGGAGGCAGAGGCAGGTGGATTTCTGAGTTCAAGGCCAGCCTGGTCTACAGAGTAAGTTCCGGACAGCCAGGGCTACACAGAGAAACCCTGTCTCGAAAAAAAAAAAAATGTCAATGTTGCTTAGTGGTTAAATTAATTGTTAAAAAAAAAGTTTCTTCTGTCTCTATCTGGCAATGATGACAAAACTGAGATATAAGTCAAGAGGGACCTGGGTCTGTAGCATAGTAGTAGAACAGTTATGTAGCTCTATTTAGAACATGGGTTTGCCATCCGAGACAGTGAATGGTCAGGCAGGCAGGGGGTAAAAGGGGAAAAAAACCACCTTAAATAGTTATAAACACAGTTCTCAGGTGGGGATTTTGTTTCATGATGTTTCTGAGACAGGGTCTCACTGTGTAGCCCATGCTGGCTGAACTCACATTGTTCTTTTTGTTTGTTTGTTTGTTTGTTTGTTTCTGAGACAGGGTTTCTCTGTGTAACCCTGGCTGTCCTGGAACTCACTCTGTAGACCAGGCTGGCCTCGAACTCAGAAATCCGCCTGCCTCTGCCTCCCAAGTACTGGGGTTAAAGGCGTGCGCCACCACCGCCCGGCTTTTTAGATTTATTTGTTTGTTTTTGAGATAATGTAATAACCATGTAGGTTTGGCTGGCCTGGGACTTGCTATATAGACCAGTCTGGCCCTGAACTCAAGAGATCCGCCTACCTCAGCCTCCGGAATACTGGTATCAAAGACGTGTACCAACCACACCCAGATCTATCTTTATTTCACTTGTGAGGGGGTTCTGCCTGCATGTATGTTTGTGCACCACACTAACATAGCGTCTGAGGAAGCCACAAGAGGAGATCAGATCTCCTGGAACTGGAGTTACAGATAGTTGTAAGCCACCTGTGGATACCAGGAATCAAACCTGGGTCCCCTGGAAGAGTAAGTAGCCTGTGGCCCTGACTACTGAACCAGAATTCCTTTGCAATCCAGGCTAGCCTCAAACTAGTGTTTGTCTTACAACCAACCTTCCAAGTGATGGCACGAGCCATTAAATCCAGATATAAACACAATGACTTCTAAATACGGGGTCCTTCCCATGTGTGAGCTCTGTACACATTTTTAATAAAATTGACATGCTTCGAGTATGATTATCAACTTCATCGTGATGTGTTCAGGACACTCGGCATTTAACGTTCTCTGAACTAGGACATTTTCTCCTAACCTGCAACCCAAAGAAATCCTTCTGTAAATACTGTACTGTAGGAGTGATCTTCAGTGTGTGGAATGAAGAGCTTAGGGGCAGGAAAGCGAGCAGAGAGAAAGGGAAGCCCATGGTTTTGGGCAAGGCCCTAAGGGTTTTAGGGATAAAAAGAGCAGTCAGTTAAGATCTGGTAGTTCTGATGGAACATAAAGGTATGTGACTGGGTGTTTCTTCTTCTTCTTCTTCTTCTTCTTCTTCTTCTTCTTCTTCTTCTTCTTCTTCTTCTTCCTCCTCCTCCTCCTCCTCCTCCTCCTCCTCCTCCTCTTCCTCCTCTCTTTCTCCTCCTCCTCCTCCTCCCCCCCCCCCCCCTCCCCCTCCCTCTCCCCCACCTCCTCCTTCTTCTTCGTCCTCATTGAGGGCTTGTTCAAGACAGGGTTTCTCTGTGTAGCCTTGGCTGTCCTGAAACTCACTCTGTAGATCAGGCTGGCCTCAAACTTAGACATCTGACTGTTTCTGCCTCCCCTGTGCTGGGATTAAAGGTGAGTGTCACTAACACCCAGCCTTCTTTTTTTTTTTTTTAACTTGTATGTATATATGTGTATGTATTTGTATGAGCATATGCACCACATATATACAGTGCCCACGGGGGCCAGAAAAGGGTACTATATCTCCTAGAACTGGTGTTAACAGACAACCTTGAGATACCATGTGTGTCATGGTGCTGGGAACCAAACCCCAGTCCTCTGCAAAAGCAGCCAGTGCTTTTAACTGCTGAATCATCTCTCCAACAGCTAGTTTTCCTTCCTTCCTTCCTTCCTTCCTTCCTTCCTTCCTTCCTTCCTTCCTTTCTTTCTTTCTTTCTTTCTTTCTTTCTTTCTTTCTTTCTTTCTTTCCTTCTTTCTTTCTTTCTTTCTTCCTTCCTTCCTTCCTTTCTTTCTTTCTTTTTCTTTTTTCTTTCTTTTTCTTTTTCTTTTTTTTTGTTTGTTTTTTGTTTTTCGAGACAGGGTTTCTCTGTGTAGCCCTGGCTGTCCTGGAACTCACTCTGTAGACCAGGCTGGCCTTGAACTCAGAAATCTGCCTGCCTCTGCCTCCCAAGTGCTGGGATTAAAGATGTGCGCCACCACTGCCCAGCTGGTTTTATTTTTAAAATGAGAATGCAAACATCTTTTTGTAGAGTTAATGTAAGTATGAAGTTGGGACAAAATGTATGATGCATTTAGATTTGGAGGAGGGAGACAAAGAGAAGGGCTAGCTGCAATGGAATTTGCTTGTAATGTCAACACTCTAGGAGGTAAGGCAGGAGGATCAGGACCTCAGGGGAATCTTTAGCTACTTGGCTAGCCTGGGCTACAGGGGAGCCTGTCTCCAAAGAAAAGGTATCTTATCTGTCACATGATGTTTCAGTAAGTGATAACTACCACTTATTCTGTGTTTCTGATACTGGTTTTTAATATCCCAAACTGGTGCCGGGCAGTGGTGGCACACGCCTTTAATCCCAGCACTTGGGAGGCAGAGGCAGGTGGATTTCTGAGTTCGAGGCCAGCCTGGTCTACAGAGTGAGTTCCAGGACAGCCAGGGCTACACAGAGAAACCCTGTCTTGAAAAACAAACAAACAAAAAATAAAAACAAAACAAACAAACAACAACAACAAATCCCGGACTGGGTGAACTTGAACTCCTGCTCTCTGTTGAGCACAAAGATTCCAGGCAAGTCCTGCCTGCCTGTTACCCTTTTCCGTTAGATTTATGTGGACTTCTGTAAAATTACTTGTAGATTTCTATGACTCTCAGCAGTCTCTTCTCTTTCCAGATCCCACAGTGTACGATTCTCTGTTGGTACTTAGTACTGGGCACAAAATATTCACAATTATTCAAAGTCCTTAAGGGCAGCCAGCTCTGTGACGCCTCCACTTAACACCGTGCCTTGAGAGGAAAAAAGTGCTTCATATACTGCCGAGCCAGCCTGCCTCAGTTGCTTGTCTGCCATAATTAATTTGGCCATGATGATTTGGGTCTGTGGTCTTTTCTCCTCACATCTTTGAGATTAATTAAATCCTGTGACTGAATTAAATAAAACTTGTGACTGAAACTGATCACTAACCACATACGGGCCGAGTTCTGTTCCTCTGGCAGCAGGGTATACATACGTTTCCTGTGCATGTTAAATAGCCCCAGCTCCTCCTATGGTACCTTCATCCCTTATTTATTTTTTTCTTTGCTGTTACAAATGGAGTTACAATTGGTAAGTGCTTTTGTGACACTCACCATCCCAGTTACAAGGCAACATAGCAGGTGTCACATAAACGGCACAGTACCGGAAATCAAGCATACCATGAATACCTTTTAGAACAGCAATTCCGAAATGCTTTGGGTACGAAATGACAACAAAAACATTAATTTTACTATTGTACACATTTAAATTTGGCGGATATATTTTATTGAAACGGTTATTCTTTAAACATACACATTCCTCCATCTGCATTTTCTTACAAACATTTATTATTATTTTTTTTGCTTTTGCCCATCAGGTTTTTTTTTTTTCTTTTCTATTTTTCACATTAAAGACTCAGCTGGCTTGGTTTGCAAAGTCAATGGAAGAAGGTGGTTTGGAGCCAGTCATGGCTCTCCCTCTAGCTTCAGCCCACTCTCTGTCTTATTTAAACGCGAATGGCTGATTCTGAGCCTCTGACTTCAGTGCCTTATCTCTCAGAATTTCTCAGTTCCTCGTATAATGTCTGATGTATTTTTTTTTTTTTTTGGTAGCTTTCCATTGGGAAGAGTTTCCAAAGTAATTTGGGTATTCAATGGTATTAGTTTCTAATAACACATTTAAAGCATTGGAATTTCCTTTTCCGACAAAGGGGACTGATCCCTGCTTGAAGAGCAGACAGGAAACCCGGTGCTCAAAGGCAGGGAGCAGTGAGAAAATTGCTTCTGACAGCACAGCTGCAGCCTTCCTCGTAAGCTTGTTTGGCTCAGGGACTCCAGGAATGAGAACGCCCGGAATTACATAGCAGAAAAGACATGTTGCTTGGATACCATCCTCCAAGAAGGATAAAGTGTAGTCAGAGTAACGGGCTTTAAAAAAAAAAAAATCTTACAATAAGAGTTAGTATAAGAAGCATTCGAATATGCCGGTTCTCTCAAGTGAACGGGCACCTGTGTTGTTCCCTCAATGTCTCTTATTTCTACCTCTTTAAAAGGAAGACAGAACTCAGGTTAGGACGGTCACTTTAAGCATGCACAAAGCCCACCCAAACGAACCCAGAACTTAACGCAAGCATCATTTCCTACGCACTTTTAGAAGGAAATGTGTGTACGTCCTGTGAGGACTCTCTTATGCCAATAAAATGTAAGAATAAGAAGCCGGAGACATGGGGGCAGTAGTGGGCAATCAACCTTTTCCCTGGCAGCGTCTGAGTCCTTTTTCAGAGAACATTTCATCTCAGCAGCCACAGCCGGCTTCCTCTTTCCGCTAGCCTTTGCCCTGGTCAACAATAGAAAATGCTCGGCTCCACCCACCACGATCAGCTGACTTTGCATTGTTCTTTGAAGGGCTCCTTCCGGCTTCGCAGCTAAGCCTTCAGTGTCCTAATCACCAGAACATCTAAAAGGCAAGTTAATTGTCCTGGGATGGCTGCTTTTTTTTTTTTTTTCTTCGTTTAAATTTCTCAGCCATCTCTCTTCTCCATGTGTGAGTTGTATTGATAACTTTTTGCTGGTAGTGAATCCTCCCTGCTTATTCTTTCCCAAAATGCCACCAACAAAAAAACGTTATCAGCCATGAGCTGAACCCGCTGCCACCACCCACTCCTTTCGCTCGCCACCCGCTCCCTGATGGTAGTTCATTCCAGCCCAGCCCACGGCAACACTTTTCTTGGAGTCTACCGCTGAGAAGAAAGACGTTGAGGAAGTGGTTCAGCCTCTCAGCGGGAAGAGGAGGACCATGAGGGTTTTCGGTGCCTTTAGGAAATGATCGCTGAAAATTTAAGGCCTAGAATCATCCAAAGTCCCACACTCACATCCTTCTAGAATGAAAGAAACGGGAGAATCGCCAAGTTTGGGGCCAATATCAAATGTCCTTGGACCTACTGAAAGAAAGGCCCACTACTCTCTATTCCGAACAGTCTTGAAATTCTGGTTTCACGGTTTCCCAGAAAGAGGAGCAGAAAGTGGTGTATGCAAGGGGATCTTTCAACATCCCTGAGAGACTTTCTCTAGAGGACTGTCCCTAAGGACATTCATTAAGTGATGTATAGTGAGTATTTGTTTCTTCTAGAAACATCCAGCAGAAAGTCTTTAGGGGAGTCAGTCAAATTGGAGTAATGAGCCGAAACTGCCCCGGGATTGATAGTTTTGATATCTGTTGGCAATCCTCTGAATATCAAAATGGAAAACTCTTCAGAGAATCATCTCCCAACTTGGTTGGACTTCCTCCTTAGCTATTATTTTAGGGTTCCATGGAAATTGGAAGATTGGCTGTGGATGAGGTAAGAGAAAAACACATTTCTCTGTCTCCCACCGTTTCAAATTCTCCCCAGTTAACGTTCAAACCTTATGACACAAGAAGTTAAGTCAAGGTAGAAAAAAAAAATGTGTTTCCGTCTTTTTTTTTTTAATGTGAATTTCTTAAACGCGGTTCTCTCAGTACATGTTGCAGATAGGTATTATCATAAGGCGTGGGCTTCTGTTTTGACTATCTGAATAAATCACACTAATCCAATACATTTGCAGAAATGAGTAGAAAATTGATCTATGAGATTCCCGCTTCTTCTTCTTCACCGTGGTGACTTGCAAGATCCTAGGTAAGATGTTTCAGGTGTGTGCAGCCTCACCCTTCCCTTATTGACCGAATAAGCTTGGGCCCCTCCCCCGCGCCGCTCTGTCTGAAGGCACAGTGACGGTACCTTTACAGAGAGACGGTCAGTTTCCATCCTCCTGTTTGTTTGGTATCCTATATAAGGAGGGTGCTCACCAGAACTGGTCAGTGCCATTCCTGTAGCTACTTAAGTGAGAGCTTATCTGGCTGAGGGGCTTGCGTGGCTGGTGGACGAGGTCCAGGGGCTAGCCTAAGAGCCTGACTGATCGGGGAAGTGCAAGTCAGGTTCACTCTAAGTCAGACAGTTTGGAAGGCTTTGCTCTGGCTGGGCATTGTGCTGAGTGTGGTTTCTGCTTTGGTCAGGGTCGTATGGTGGACTTTCTTTGGTTCAGAACCTCTCACTTCTGGTCCTATTAGGCTGTATGCCTGAGGGGCTAGCCCCGGCTGCGGTGCTGCTTCACTCGACAGCGTCCGCTGGCTTCTGGAGGCACTGTTCCCGGTGGAGCGGGTGGAGGAGGAACCAGAGCGTGAGCTCCGGGAACCTGAGGAAGAGGAGCCAGGCTTCACGAGGCGGGCTCGGGGGGCTTCGGCGTCTTCTCTGAAAGGGAAAAAAATGAACAGATAGTAGAGATAAACTTTAGTACAGCCAGGGCTGTGTTGACGCTCATTAAAGTTACTTGCATCTAAGATTTTTCAATAAATTCCTCAAGCCATAAATCTCCAAGGCAGTCAGTTAAGGAACTGAGCAGTTCCTTGTTTCATAAGACTTAATGCTCAGTTTAGGAAAATGTTTGTTGAGTGACTGCCAGAGAGGTTCAGCCAGTCGCACCAGGAGGATAACAGCTCAACCGGGAGACGGTCTAGATAGAACTGCTTTGATTTGGGGGTTTGTGTACTTAAACCCTTTCATGTCCTGTGGGTTTATACCCTCTTTATTATCTACCCTTGCTAAGTGGGAATGAATCAGAGGTAAAGTTGAGAATTATGCTGGTTGATTGTTAGCATGACACAAGCTAGAGTCATCTGGAGAGAGGGAAATGTCTCCATCAGAGTGGCTGGTTGGCAAGTCTGTGGGGCATTTTTCTGGATGAATGATGGCTGTCTGAGGGTACAGCTCACTGCGGGTGGCACCACTCCTGAGAAGACGATGCTGGGTTCTATTAGAAAGCAGGCTGAGCAAGCTATGAAGAGCAAGCCAGTAAGCAGCACCCCTCCATGGCCTCTGCTTAGAGTTGGCACCCTCAGGTTCCTGCCTTGAATTCCTAGCCTGCTTTCCCTTTGTGATGGACTGTAAGCTCTAAGGGGAAATAAACCCTTTTCTCCCCAGGCTGCTTTTGGTCATGCTGTTTGCCATAGCAACAGAAAGCAAGCCAAGACAAGGGTGGTTTCCCAATAAAGTGAATCATATCTTCTGTCCCTAGACTGTAATTTCCTACTTGGCAGGATAACCCTTTGAAGAGATTAATAGTACAGGGCACCTAAGGGATGTTTATGTTGACTGGTGACTATGGAGTCGGCATGTAAATGGAGTTCGCACAAACAGGGACGCTTACCGGATTTCGTTAGGTCGGTCTTCTTCCTCGTATCTGTCTTTGCTTTTCTTCCGGATTAGCAGCCAGATCAGGAGGAAAATGAGCAGGGCTCCCGCCACGATGCCTGTCACCGCTCCCGCCACCATGCCAATGCTCTGCACATCTGTTTCCTCAGAAGCACAGACAGAAGTAACGTCAAACATAAGCTCGGAGATGCGTGCACTCTGGAAGCTCAGGACGGGATGGCTTCCAGCGCCCTGCCCTGCGACCCTCTCATGTGACTGCGCCTTTCCATATTCTTGCAAGCTGAAGTTACTGAATCACTCTGCTAGTTTGCTCAGATTTTAGTGACTAAGTCTGTCTTGGTTCACGTTGGCTGGGGAAGTTATTGTGTCATGTTAAAAAAAAAAAAAATCTCCCCCCCCCAAAAAAAAAACAAGCCAGGCGGTGGTGGGGCACGCCTTTAATCCGAGCACTTGGGAGGCACAGGCAGGTGGATTTCTGAGTTAGAGGCCAGCCTGGTCTACAGAGTGAGTTCCAGGACAGCCAGGACTACACAGAGAAACCCTGTCTCGAAAAAAAAAAAAATTCCAACCCTCATGGGATACCTCTGGGCAATCTTCTAGCTCTGCCCAATTTTTCTGAACTGCCCTTTTCTACCGGTAAATTAAAATAGACTAGAACCCCCAGCATACAATTCTGTGTTTGACTGCTGGTAGCTCTCAAACTCAGAACTCAAGGTGAAATTCTATTTGCACATTAGGAACATATATGGTCTCACTTGGATATGACACGTGCTAGGTATTTACTTATTTATTTATTAAGTGCTCACTTAAGCCAGCTGTTCTCCATGGGAGTTTCTCCATTTTTGAGTTTGCACTCTACAAAAGGGAAAACCAAGAAAGAATAGATGCAGATAATTTCACACAGTGGATCTGTGAGGGCAGAAGTGGATGACTGGCAATTTGGAAAGAGAATAGGGGATTACAGTCTCAGTTTGGGAAAGCAGTGTTTGAGTCAAAATACAAAAGACAGGACCGTCTTGTGGTGAACTGGAGACAGAGTGTTTGCTCTGGGCAGAAGGTACAGAGGGTGTGGTAAATGTGAGTGTCTCTGGAGCACAGTGAACAAGGGAAAGCTTGGGGAGAAGTCACAGAGACAGGCAGGGACCAGCTCCCATGGGACCTAATAGACCAGGCAACCACTTGACTGGAGAAGCAATAGAAGAGTTGCGTGGTTCGTGTTACATTGAAGAAAGCACACCGTGGCTGTTCTTGGGGAAATGGAGTGTTTCATGGGGAGGAAAGGAAGCAAGGATATGTGTCAGGATGCTTCTCATGGTGCAAGCCACAGATGACTGTGAGTGGTCCAGGCTGGACCTAATGTGCACAGAGGCAGGTACAAGGATACAGCTTCTATTCTGGAAGTGTTGTCAACAGAAAGTAGTTGACTCTTGTCCTGCCTATTTTTTATTAACAACATGGTCTCTTACTATAAAAATTTGCCTTTTATCTACCACCCCACCCAAGATAGGGTCTTTGGTGGCCTTGAACTCATTATGCAGGTCACCCTGTTCTCACAGAAATCCTCCTGTTTCTGCCTTCTGATCAATGGTGTTAAAGGTATGTACCACCAACCATGCCTGTCTTTTTCCCCCCCTTGGAGACAGGGTTTCTCTGTGTAGCACTGGATGTCCTGGAACTTGATCTGTAGACCAGGCTGGCTTTCAACTCAGAGATGCTCCTGCCTCTGTCTCCTGAGTGTTAGGACTAAAGATGTGTGTAACCTCATCTGGCAAAAAAAAAAAAAAAATATATATATATATATATATATATTATTGCTAGGTTCTTGAAAGGCTGGGGTTTATTTTATCATTACATTTTATTTATTTATTTTATATGTGTGTATACATTGTGAGTGTGTGTAGGAGTCAGGATAACTTGCATGAATCTGTTCTTTCCTGTTCTTTCCTTCCATCATGTGAGTTCTTCCAGTCAAATTCAGATCATCGGATTAGGCAGTAAGTACCTATGGCTGGGCCATCTCCTTGGCTTTGGGGTTTATTTTATGTGAACGAATTCAGTTCAGGAATGTTCTTTTCCTTATGGCCCTACTGCCAATGTGCACTCTGAATAAATTACCTACTAACAGAAATTGAAGTTGTCTTTACTTTTTCACAATCAAAACATTTCATTAATTTCCATGTATGTGTGCATAGTTTTGGAACTATCTAAAGGATAAATTCACAGAAATGTTGATAAGATACAATGGAACACATTTCTCAATCTACGTTAAATAGAATAGATGGTGGCACATGCCTATAATCTTAGCACATGGGAAGCAGAGGCAGGAGGATTGCTGTGGGTTTGAATCCATCCTTGGCTATTTAGGAAGTCTATTGAAACCCTGGGCTGCACAGTGAGACCTTGTCTCAATAATAAGAAAAATTTTACACACACACACACACACACACACACACTGTATTATTAGGATGGATTCGTAATTGAGGCACACTTGTATAACGAAACACTACAGAACAGCGAGAATGCCCAGTTGGTGGGAACACCGTAATTTTAGTATTTGGGAAGATGAGGCAAGAGGAATTCCTGAGTTTGAAGCCAGTATGGCTTTCTAGCAAAATTCAAGGCCAGCGTCAGCTACATGGAGAGACTCTGCCTCAAAAAGATAAAAGCCACTGCTTGCTTAGAACACGCCAGGCTCTGGCTCTGGGTTCAAGCTCCCTACGCCTTTCCCCACAAACCCAGAAAACTTCAAGGCCAGCCAACATATCACAGCTGGAAGCAACAATGAAACAAGGGAGAGCTTCAGAAACAAAAGGAGGCGTGGAAGAAGTCAGGATAAATGGAATTTTACTTCACTGGAGATCTAAAACAGGAAGGACAATCTGTCAAATTAGTCTCTGAGTCTTAGAGGAAGCAGGAGGCAATGGCTGGTCTATGACCACGATGCTACTTACCTTTCTTTTCTTTTTTTTTTAAAGATTTATTTATTATATATGAATACACTGTAGCTGTCTTCAGACACACCAGAAGAGGGCATCAGATCTCATTACAGATGGTTGTGAGCCACCATGTGGTTGCTGGGATTTTGAACTCAGGACCTCTGGAAGTGCAGTCAATGCTCTTAACCACTGAGCCATCTCTCCAGCCCCCCCCCCCTTTTTTTTTAAAGATTTATTTATTTAACACACACGCACACACACACACACACTCTATCTGCATGTACACCTGCATGCCGGAAGAGGGTATGGGATCCAATTACTGATGGGAGCCACCATGTAGTTGCTGGGAATTGAACTCAGGACCATTTAACCACTGAGCCTTCTCTCCAGCCTCTGTGATGCCACTTACAAGGACACACTTAGTTGACATTCTACCTGAATGTGCACTCAGGGTTTACATAGTCTTGGTCTCTGAAGTTTCACCACACTAGATTTTCTCTTTCCAAATCTACAGACAACAATAAAAGGTGCTAGAATTTATACTGGCTAAGAATATAAAAGTACTTAAGATCTTTCCACTTCTACCTCCCAAGTAGGAGATTGTACCACCAGGCCTGGCTAAAGAACCATTTTGTTGTTGTTGTTTCAATATGTAATCTTTCTAATAATTGGTATTATTATTTGTGTGTGTGTGTGTGTGTGTGTGTGTGTGTGTGTACAACCCAGCCTTGGTTTATAGCCCAGACTGACTTTGAATCCATGATCCTCCCGACTTTGAGATTATAGGTAGGAGCTTCCATATCCAGTTGGTCCTGATTTTTTTTCACTTTTACTAACACGATAGCTTCAAATAAAAAGGGCGGTTGTTCGGTTGACATAAAAGCCATCTCATACTGCACACATGTAGGACCTGGATGCTGGAGGCTAGCCCTCTAAAATGGCTCCCAGTGGCTGCTGGGTGTAAGCCTTCTTTCTTCACATAGGCTGTCTATGAATTCCCTCAGAGTGAATAGCTAAGAAAGCATGATCTAAGAGTTCAAGCCCAGCCTGAGCTTCTTGATGAGATATGGCCCAAAATGGGCATTTGAAATCTAGTCTTGAGAATGAAGAATTGCACTGATTTTGTATAACCAAAGTCTCAGATGTGACCTGCCGTCACTTCTGATCACCTCTGTGGTTCATTTACTACAAGTGAATCATGGGCTGGTAACAGTGTTCCGCAGATAAAGGCTCTTTGGCACCAAGCCTAATGGTCTGAAGGTCTATGTCCAGGACTCACGTGGTGGAAAGAACCAACTTCGTTTAGTTGTCCTATGACAGCCACACAAGAGTATGGGGACACGTGCCTGTCCAGTACCACTCCACCCCACCACACATGCAGCACACAAAATAAATAAGTAAATGTAGCTAAAAACCAACCAACCAACCAACCAAAAACTACTTCATCACTTAATGAAAGAAAGAACTGTTAAGATGTTAAAACTGGTCCAAAGGCCACTTGAGACATTAGATTAGGGACAAAGACACTTTAACTTGGAGATTGTGAAGATCGCTGGGGCAAGCGGCAAAATAGTTAATGTTCTACAAAATCTGTGATTTCTGTGGTCACCTATTTAACTGGAATAGGAGTCTTTTTTTTTTTTTTTTTTTTTTTTTTTTTTTTTTTTTTTTTTTTTTTGGTTTTTCGAGACAGGGTTTCTCTGTGCAGCCCTGGCTGTCCTGGTCCTGGAACTCACTCTGTAGACCAGGCTGGCCTCGAACTCAGAAATCCGCCTGCCTCTGCCTCCCAAGTGCTGGGATTAAAGGCGTGCACCACCACCACCCGGCAAGTACCGTACTTCTGTCCAACAAGTATCAGTTGTCTTACAAATTTAACAAGGTCTTCACTGAAAAAGTATGAGCAGGTGGATTTCTGAGTTTGAGGCCAGCCTGGTCTACAGAGTAAGTTCCAGGACAGCCAGGGCTGCACAGAGAAACCCTGTCACGAAAAATAAAACAACAACAAAAAAAAATGAAAAATGATATTACCAAGTAACTCAAGCAGGCATCAAATTCACTCTCTTCCTGTCTCTAGAGCTCGGATTACAGGATGTAGCAAAACACCTGACCTTACTTTTCTGTTTTAATTTTTTGGAGACAGGCTTTTTATGTAGCTTTGAATAGCTCTAAACTTCTGTCTATAGTGGGGGATGACCTTCAACTCCAGGTTATCTGGTTCACCTTCTAAGCTTGAGTATTATGTGTGTATCTCTAAACTCACCCCAGTCTCTGTTTTTGTCTCTAGAGTCTGTGTCTCTCTGTCTGTCTGTCTCTGTCTCTCTGTGTGTATGCACACAGTTTTGTGTGTGTGTGTGTGTGTGTGTGTGTGTGTGTGTGTGTGGTAGTGGTGCTGGCATCCTACCAATGGAGCTACCCATGCAGATGCTATGCCATTGAACCAAATTCCCAGCTCCATAGTTTGGTTCTATCCAGAGGAGTGGCTAATACACATAGGTAACTATACACCCAGACAAAATCACTAAATGGTCTTCTGGAAATAAAGACTTTGACCTTCCTTGACCTTCCTTTTATTCACGATTAAAACATCTTATACTAAACTGCCATGTACCAATACGAATTTTAAACGGAACAACAAAAAAGTCATTATTGGAAGGTTGTGGGTTTAGCTCAGTGGCAGAATGCTAGCATTCTAAAGGTCCTGGGCTTTTCTCTCCATCATAAAAGAAAGACAACCCCGAGATACTCACACTGTACAGTCACCCGCACCACACAGCTCTCCTTCCCAGCCTCGTTGCCTGCTGTGCACTGGTAGAGCCCAGAGGAGGCCATGGTGAGATTCTGCAGCAGCACTCGGCCAGGGTTGTTGTAATCTATAGAAGCAGAAACAGAGATGGTAAATCCCCTCCACAACAGCATCTCCACTGTTTACCGTTGAGCGTCACAGACCTGTGATGTCGAACGGTTCAATGGGATGAACTGACAGAACAGATCCTGTTTAGGAGCATGGGAAAGGGGAGATATTATTTTAAATTGTTGTGCATCCTCGGGAGCTACAAAAGATTGGCAACAAAGGCCCTGGAGCTATTTGGAAGGCTGGGGCATGTATAATATTACCCAATAAAGTGAGTTCAAGGCTATTCTGGGCAACTTTCTGAGAGTCTGTGGAGGAGGGGGTCTGTACAAGGTCCTAGGTCTTGAATCAAAAGGAAAAAAAAATATGGAGAACATTTAATGGATACTAAATGAGTTAATTTAGAGTTTCCCTCACCCTCTCATGTCCGTGCCGTTTGCAGAAAGAAATGGGTTTTATTTTGTTGTTATTGTGGTCCGAGTTTACAAATGAAAAATGAAATTCAAGAGGTTTGACAGCCACCCAGTCATGTTGCTAAGTCCCTATAATCCCAGCAATTGGGAGACAGGACGATCCAGAGTTCAAGACTCTCCTTAGCTATGTAGCAAGCTCTGTGCCAGCCTGGGCTTCACGACACCCTGTCTCAAAAATCACACAGTAACTGCAAGAGAGGTTCACATTGGGTGTGGGGGTAGTGCGTGCATGTAAGCCCAGAGAGAGAGAGAGAGAGAGAGAGAGAGAGAGAGAGAGAGAGAGAGAGGCGGTAAGTTTGTTTGTCAGTGGTTCCTGCCTCCTCTTTTAGTTGCTTTTGTTCTATCACAACAACAGAAAAGCAAACTAGGACATAATGCTGTAAGAGACCCTGCCTCAAATCCAAAATCTCCAAATCAAACCAAGCCAGAACAAACCAAGCCAATGACGACCACACACGCACGCACGAGATTCAGCAGCGTGCCCCAGGGCATCTAGTGAGCTTCTGCCAAGGAAGATTTGGAATTTGTGGATCCTGTTATTATATTTGCAGACTGACAGGGAGATGACTTACCAATTCTAGATTTGGGTGGCAGGTGTTCATCCTCTCCCTCCTTCTCCCGGATTCGCTGCCAGTAATACACAATGGGCTTCGTTCCAGAGGCCGACTCACACTGCAGCGTCAGGTCACTTCCTTCGGTCGGCTCTCCTTCCAGCTCACACTTGGGCTTGGATGGTCTCACTGGTGAAAAAGATTTAAGACAGATCAGTCAAGAGAGTCTCCAGGATGCCAGCAGAAGAACTAAGCCTCACTTAGCGTTTTATTCAGCTCCCTGTCATGCCTGACTTTATTCAGTTTTGAGTTGAAATGCATCCCGCCATGCTTCACCTCCCAGAGCCCTGATCACCTTCTCCTCCTCCGTCCCTCTCCCTAGGACCAGCTGCTACTAGCAGCGCTGGAACCTGAAGTGACTCAGAAAAGAGTCTCTGCTATTTATGGGGACATTTTAGGAAAGTTACTTATACTTTTACTGATACTGAAACAAGGATAAATAGTCAGTAGTTTGTAAGTAATCAAATATTCAAAGGACAGTGAGTCTTAGAGGGTATTATAATGAGCTACCATGGGAGAATCATAATTACAGGCCACAGATATGGCTCGGTGGGTAGAGACACTTGCTGTGTGAGCCTGGAGTCCTGAGTTCAATCCCAGAACCAACAGTGGAAAGAAAGGAGCGACTCCTGAAAGTTGACCTCTCACTTTTGCACAAGTAAACGCACTCAAGCATACACTGGATAAAATAAGATTAGAAAAGAAAGCTATAATTGTGTCGTCTTCTCTCATCCTAGCTAAAATCTGAGCATAAATGCTTCTTTGTGGTGATGTCTAAGTGCACACTACAAAGAACTGCAAAGGTGATTTTACCATTTGCAGCTGTGTATGCCTCATAGCCACTACCTTAAGACGCAGGCATTGCCGGGTGGTGGTGGTGCATGCTTTTAAGTCAAGCACTCAGGAGGCAGAGGCAAGTTGGATTTCTACAGAGCAAGTTCCAGGATATCCAGGGCTACGCACACACACAAAAACAAACAAACAAACAAACACACACACACAAAAAAAAATCCAAAAACCAAAAACAACAACAACAAAAACCCCAACCAACAAAAACCAAAAAACCCTGTCTTAACAAACGAACCAAACCACGACAACAAAAAAGACACGGACATTTATTTTGGGGTCCTACTTTACCTAGCACTTTTAAGATGACGTGGCTCCAGACATAGCGCCCTGAATTCTTCACCTTGCAGGTGTATCTGCCTTCATCACTGGGTTTCAGAGGCTCGATCTGCAGGGAGGCATCTCCTGCCAGGAAGTTGGAAGCGAAGGCCACTCGGCCCTTCTGCTCCTCAGTCAAGTTACTGTAGACATGACGACTGGAATATGTAATGACCTGAGGAGACAGAGGCAGAGGCAAAAGGTGGGACTCGACCTTCTCCTTCTGCTGTCGAGATGAGGAGAAGGCCAGGTGTGGTAGTGTGCATCTGTTATCCCAGCACTTGGGAGCACGAGGAAGCAGGATCACAGCTTCCGGGCCAGCTTGTAACTCACTATGTAGACCAGGCCAGTCTTAAACTCACTCACCTGCCTCGCCTGGGGCAGTGCTGGGGCAAAAGGTCTGCACTACCACAAAGGCCTACGCAGCGTTTATTTATAAAAAGCCTGAACTACTTCGTTGAATACTCAGAAGGACTCCATTTGGGTGGCTTGGATGTGTACAGTCCCACATACACTGAGCACAGAGTTTCTGGAAGGCTAGCAGTCGAGGTTACCAGTGCTTGCCGTAGGCTAGAGGATCGGAAGGAGAAACGCCCTTCCACAGCCTTTTCTTCCGCATTCTTCTACCAGTTGAATGCGTGTTCTCTCTCTCTCTCTCTCCCTCTCTCTCTCTCTCTCTCTCTCTCTCTCTCTCTCTCTCATACACACACACACCACACACACACACACACACACACACACACACACACACACACACACGCTCTCGTTCCCCACCCCCCACCCATACCACCCATAGTCACTTTGTCACACTATCTGTCTCATCACATTTTGTTCTACAGTCTCCTCCACACCACAGGTTGTTATTACGCCCATTCCACAGACAGGCAGCAGCAAAGCATCCGTCTCCATAGCCACCAAGCTCCGCTTTTGTTGTTGAGATGGGGTCTCCAACAGCCAGGCATGGTACACATCTTTAATCCCAGCACTGGGGTGGCAGAGGCAAGCAGATCTCTGAGATGGAGGCCAGCCTGGTTTACCAAGCAAGTTCCCTGACAGATAGGGCTACACAGAGATATCCTGTCTTGAAAAACAAGAAAGAGAGAGAGAGAGAGAGAGAGAGAGAGAGAGAGAGAGAGAGAGAGAGAGAGAGGACTACCTTAGCTGTCTGTGTAGCTGAGGTTGATCTTGCCCATCACCATCTTCCAAGCTAAGTGTGGGGGTTTGCAGTTATACGTCCTTCTTCCACAGATTCTTCTGTTCTCCCTTTTTTGCCCTTAAATTTATTTAACTATCTATTAATAGCTTTCCCAGAAAATTCAGAAATAGAGAAGAAAAGGTAAACATGGAAGAAAAATAATGTTTTAAAAAATACTTTTAGGGGCTAGAGAGATGGCTTAGCAGTTAAGAGCACTGGCTGCTCTTTCAGAGGTCCTGAGTTCAATTCCCAGCAGCCACATGGTGGCTCACAACCATCTGTAACGGGATCTGATGCCCTCTTCTGGTGTGTCTGAAGAGAGCCACAGTGTACTCACATACATAAAATAAATAAATAAATAAATAAATAAATAAATAAATCTTTGAAAAATAATTTTTAAATGTTATCTATCTTGCATGTGTGTGGGTGTGAACATTAGTATATGGAGGTCGGACAGCCTATGGAAATCGATTTTCTCCTTCCCCCACAGGAATCTGTGGAATGGAATGCGGATCACTGGGGTTATCACCTTTACTAGTTGAGATATCTTGCCAGTCAGTGCAAAAGCTGAGAATCGAGGCTGGAGAGAGGGATGATTCCAGTCAGCAAAGAGGTTGCTGGTCAAACAAGAGGAACCTCACGTACTCATGTAATAGCAGGCCATAATGCCGATACCCCTCCCCTGACACCCACCCACACTAAGGAAATAAGCGAACAAATAAATAGACAAGTAAGTAAGCAAGCAAGCAAATAAAACTGTTAAAACATTGAAAACTGACCAAGCCATCTTAGTCAGTCAACAGGTTCTCCAGCGCAGGAGTGAGGAATAAAAGAAAAGAGACGTTAGACAAAACTGCAGCGTGACCCCAGCCAGTTCTGAGGCTGAAGGCTGAGGCGGGGTTTGTTTAGTCCCACTTTTCTTTTAAACCCTTTTAATTACATGCAAGTATTTAGGTCAGTTCTAGGTTGAGGAACCAACAATACAATAGATACAAACAGTCAAGGAACAAACAAGGCAATATACAAAGTCCTGTGATCAATCTTGCTGTTTCTTTCTTTTTTCTTTTTCTTTTTTCTTTTTTCTGAGATAGGATTTCTCTGTATAGCCCAGGCTGTCCTGGAACTCACTCTGTAGACCAGGCTGACCTCGAACTCAGTAATCC